TTCCCTCTTCTATCCAACAACCTCAAAAATACCCCCAGCACAATCAAAACTTCCTTCTTAATCAGCCTAATACCAATAACAATGTCCATCCACTCCGGAACAGAAAGTCTCACCTCCTTCTGGGAATGAAAGTTCATCATCAACTTCAAAAGAAGTTCATCAATAAAATCCCCATCAGACCCTCAGAGGCTCAAGGGGCTGGGGTGGGATTTGCTGCCCTGGACGAGCCCATGCCGTGCTCTCCATGTGTGCAGTGACATTTCCCCTCCCTGCAGGTTCTACCTGATCGCCGGTGGCATCCCCCTCATCATCTGTGGGATCACAGCAGCTGTCAACATCCAAAACTACCACGACAACAACCCCTAGTAAGTGTGTCCCTGCTCGACCCTTCCTCCCTCCCATGTGGGTGGCTCTCTCTGCTGGGGCAGGGAACTGGTGGCACTGGGAATCTGGAGAAGTCTGGGGAAAGATCAGTGAGTTTTTTCCTGAGAGTTACTGGGAAAAAATCGTCCAGGCAGCTCCACAGGGCCGATCTCCTGCACTGGGACTAGTAAATGCTTTAGCTGGGTGTGGGGAGTAGCTTTGTTACTCCAGGTCATGTCAATTGGGCTAGAGTTTGGCATCAAGATGTTCTGGCATTAACAGACATCTTTCAGGTGTAAGCTGAATGCTTTTGTTTAAGCTACGTCTTGGTAGCCTAAGTGCACCTTCCAGTACACTGACCTTGTTATGACTTACCTTGTTACGACTTACCTCATCTTTGGCTGGATAGCTTGTGAGCTTATGAGAGCCCTGCCATGAGGGCAGAGGTGCCCTCTGAGCAGCTCCAGGCCCCTCAGAGCCCCTCTCCTCCCACACAGCTGCTGGCTGGTGTGGCGGCCCAGCCTGGGCGCCTTCTACGTCCCCGTGGCCTTCATCCTGCTCGTCACCTGGATTTATTTCCTCTGTGCCGGGCTCAGCCTCCAGTGCCGCCCCTCGCACCAGAAGGACATCCCGGAGCCGCTGGAGCCCCCGCCGCGATTGGGGGCCACCGGTGACCTCCTGACAGACTCTGGCTCCATCTCGGTGACGCTGAACTCGGGGCCTCCCTGCCCTGAGGGGGACGGTGTTTACTCCCTGCGGGTGCAGTTCTGGGCTCTGGTGGCCACCCACGCCCTGTACGTGGCCCTGTGGACGTTCGGCGCCATGGCCGTGTCCCAGCGNTGGGAAGCTGAGAAGCCTCAGAGGAGAGGAAAAACAATAATTATCTGCTGCTGTGGAAAGCAACAGGTGGATCTTTGATGGGTCTCATGTGGTTGTTTTTAATTAACAACCAATCACAGTCCGGCTGTCTCGGACTCTCTGGTCAGTCACAAGATTTTATTATCATTCCTTCCCTTTCCTTTCAAGCCTTCTGATGAAATTCTTTCTTCTATTCTTTTAGTATATAATTTTCTTTTACTATAATATATATCATAAAATAATAAATCAAGCCTTCTGAAACATGGAGTCAGCTCCTCATCTCTTCCCTCATCCTGAGACTCCTGTGAACACCACCACAAACCCCTTTGCCAGGATTTCTCTCCTGGGAAGCTGAGAAGCCTCAGAGAAAAAGGAAAACAATAATTATCTGATTTGCTTCTCCTGTGTTTTGCTGCTTTGGAATGTGGTAGGTGATTGTTTGATTGGTTTCATGTGAATTGTTTTTATTTATGGCCAGTGACAGCCAAGCTGTGTTGGACTCTGAGGAGAAAGTCAGGAGTTTTCATTATTATCTTTTTAGCCTTCTGTCTGTATCCTTTCTGTATTCTTTAGTATAGTTTAGTATAGTAGAATAGAATAGAATAGAATAGAACAGAACAGAATAGAATAGAATAGAATAGAATAGAATAGAATAGAATAGAATAATAAATCAGCCTTCTAAGAACATGGAGTCAGATTCATCATTCCTCACTTCATCTGGGAACCCCAAAAATCCAAGACACACCCTGTTCCTGCCATGGCTGCTGCTTGAGGACACCAGGAGGAGTTTCTTTACGNCTCAACGTGGGCAGCCACAACGGCGGCCTCAAGGGCAGCAAGTACGACATCAACCTGGCCAGCGCCGACAGCGTGGCCGGCATGAAGACCGGCCTGTGGAAGAGCGAGACCACCGTGTGAAGGTGGGGAAGGACGGACGGACACACGGACGCAGAGTTTTCCTGTTTTCCTCGTGCACTAGCAGGGATGGGAGGCACAGCCGGGGGGCACAGCACGACCCCGGGCCCACCCATCACCCCGAGCTTTTCCAGCAGCGGTGCAGGAATTGCAGCCGTGCTTTAATCGCTCCTGCATGTCACTTGAGATTGATCCTAAAATGCTATTTTATATTCTACAGAGGAAATGTCTATTTTTCAAAGCTATATTATTGAATGTATATATGTATAGACAGAGCCGTAGGTGACGCCAGGGCCCCGCTCCCGGCCCCGGGTGCCACGACTGCAATATTCCCGCTGAGGGACCACTCCAAGTGCCCTTCACGTGCAGGCACACAGCCCCAGGATGAGCACACTGCTTCTGGAGAGCAGCTGCTGCCTCTGGAACGTTCCTGCTGTGCCAGCCCTGGGGGCTGCGCCGTGCCAAAGCCATATTGCAAAGCCAAGCACAAGGTAAGAGGAGCCTCAGCTCCAAGGTGAGGTGATTGTCTGCACTGCTTTAATGCCAGACACTAAAATAAGGGCCTGGAAAGGCTCCAGACACTAAAACCACAGCCAGAAAATGCTCCCAAGTCCTCAGAGGCTCAAGCCATGCAGTGGGGTGGGCTGGCAGACCTGTGCTGCTGCCAGGACTGACCCTCTGTGCCAAAGCACCCAAGAACCAAGAGGTGGGAGAGGCCCAGAGCTGCTCTGTGTCCTTAATCCAGGCTTCAAGCTCAGAAAATACCTAGGTTTGCTCTTAGGAAGGCAGAGGCCATTCTGGAGAGCAGGAAGCATTCCTGGGAACGCGAGAGAACGATGCCAAGGAATTGGGGACCTTCCTCGGATGGTCAAAGGGCTGGAACCTGGAGAAGCACTTATTGTTCCCACTGGAAAACAAATTTCCCCTTTTTCCCAGCACACAGGTAAACCAGCCAGGCTGCAGAGGAGGAAGGTGGGAGCCTGGTGCCTCCCCTGCCCTTTCCAGCCTCTCCTGCCTCAGTTTCCCCCGCCTGCAAATGAGTTTAATGACGCAGCTACCTCCGAGGGGTCGTGGGGCTGGCAGGGCCACGAGCCAGGGGAGGAAAAAAGCACTTAGTGGGGATTGGTCCCACCTGGGAACCACTCACCCCACGGGGCTGGGGTACCCCTGAGCCTACCCTGCCACTCCCTGCCCGCCTCGGCTTCTCTGCCCAGTTAAATGTTGAAATATTTCATTGTCCCTGGGATTTAACACAGTTTAAACCCTTCCTGCAGCTCCTGCAGCCTCTCCTCAGCCTGGCTGATGCCTCGTGGTTCTATTGCTTGCTGCATTGTGACAGTATTAGAGAAAAAGCTTTGTATTCTTAATTACACTCGGTGTGTTTACAAGCCAATGACATATCAACAGAGCTTCCTGCAATATCTGGGGGGAGGGGAGGGAAATATGCCAAAGAAATGTCTTTAAAGGGGTCTTTTTTGCATTTTTATATGAATAGAATGTTTCTAGCAGATATGTTTTGTTTAATATATTAAAGATATGCCAATCTGCCAAGATCTATTGTGTGATTTCTCTCAGAGTTCACGTTCAAATGCAGTGTTTGACCCTCACAAAGTCATTCTGCTGAAGAATGAGAAATCCAAGGTGAGGCTGCCCTGGAAAACCTAGTACCTTTTGTGCTTTTATTTACTTATAACAGAAATGTAACATGACCTGAAGCAGTCACTCCATAAAATGCCCCATTCCCTGGGCGACTGTCCCAGCAGCACAATCGCTCTGTCCCTGGTGGGCTCCACACTTCTGGTCCCCAAACTGTCCCTCTGGGCCAGGGACACCTTCAGGACCAAGCCTTGGCCCTCCTGAAGGCTCTGATCTCCTCGGGGCTCCTCAGGTACTGCTCGATCTCGCTGTCTGAGATGGGCTC